CTCTCTCTCTCTGTCTGTTTCTTCTTGTTGTTTTTAGTATGAAGTTAAGAAGCTCAGACCTTCAGAGAAGAGATAGTGATGAAGGAGACGTTCAGTAAAGAGAGCAGCGGCTCTTTAATGTGCTCCATTGTTACCTCTGTATGAATTGGACTGACCGTTCTGTATAAACTCAGGGCTCATTTATTTTACTGAGTGCAGTTACTGTTCAGTGTTTCAGCTACATTCACTGAGCAGAGCTGAGTTTGAGGATTTACATTTTAAAACACTAATAGCTGAGAATAACAATGCTGATGGAAGAAGTTGGTACAATTTAGGCAAACGATTCGGCTGATTCACTCTACTGATTTACACAAATGATTCAGTTAAAGTTAATGTTTATTTATGTAGCACTTTTACAACAGGTGTCATCACAAAGCAGCTTTACAGAAAAATCTGGGTCTGAGTCTCCATGAGCGTCGCCAATGGCGACAGTGGCAAGGAAAAACTCCCTAAGAGCAAGAGGAAGAAACACTGAGAGGAACCAAGACTCAAAAGGGGAACCCATCCTCCTCTGGACCACACCGGATAGCAAACAATAACAGCAGAAGTTTGACCATCAGTATAAGATACAGAGAAGGAGAAAAGCAGAAGAAGCAACGTCTATGATTAAAAAATGCAGCATCATCAGGAGGGTCAGTTCATGCAGGTGAGGTTTGCACAGCGTTGTACAGCATGAAGCTCAATGGTGGTCAAACCGGTCCAGAAGGCTGGTGAGCAGTGGCACCCGATCAAGGCAGAAGAAGCAACAGCATCAGACGCACAGGATGTTCAACTCAGCAAAGAAAGGAAACACACAGAGAGTCAGTTCTGTACAGAGAGACTGATCACAGATTACAGTGTTAACAGAGCAGCAGAGACTCCAGCAGGTCTAGTTATCACAGCCTCACTAACAGGGAGAGACAGACGGTAACAGAGTCATGAGGCTCCCTGAGATGTCGGCGCCCCTCCACTCCACCATCAGCAAACCTGAGTGAGTGCGCGAGGCAGTGGGACGACAGCACAAACACTCCCAGTTTACCATAATACTCTGTGACCATGAACCCCCAGATCTGCACCTTTTATCTAACAGGGAAAACTAATTACCAAAGGCTCCACTAAACAAGTGGGTTTTAGCCTAGACTTAAAGACTGAGGCTGAGTCTGAGTCTCGAACACTGACTGGAAGATTATTCCAAAGCTGGGGGGCTTTGTATGAGAAGCTCCACCCCCTGATGTAGCTTTATTAATTCTAGGTACTAATAGTGAGCAGCACCTTGTGATCTAAGTAGGCGTGATGGTTCATAGTGGGAGAGAAGTTCACTCAGGTACTGAGGGGCGAGTCCGTTTAGAGCTTTATAGGTCAGTAAGAGAATTTTATAATTGATGCGAAATTTAACTGGCAACCAGTGTAAGGCTGATAAAACTGGGCTGATATGGTCAAACCTTCTGGTTCTTGTGTGACTCTGGCTGCAGCGTTCTGGACTAACTCGTTAAGGCTTTTGCTGGAACAGCCAGCCAGCAGGGCATTACAGTAATCCAGGCTTGAGGCAATAAATGCATGAACTAGCTTTTCTGCATCCTGTAGAGAGAATGCATTTCTCAATTTAGCAATACTGCAGAGATGCAGGAAGGCTGTTCTAGTAATATTCATTATATGTGGGTCGAAGGACAGATTGGAATCTATCGAGACACCAAGATTTTTTTTACAGAAGAACCTGACGCAACTGAGAAACTATTAAGTTTAAGTGTTAAATTAGACAGTTTGTTTGTTTCTAGCAGCTTTTGTACCAAGAAGCAGAACCTCTGTTTTATCTGAGTTAAGTAGGAGAAAGTTACTCGACATCCAGTCTTTTGTCTTTTATACAGTCCTCAATCTTATTAAGTTGAAGTTTATCATCTGATTTGCTTGATATATATAACCGTGTCATCAGCATAGCAGTGGACATTGATGCCGTGTTTACTGATAATGGTGCCCTGTGATAGCATCTATAATGTGGAATAATATAGGCCCTAAAACAGAGCCTTGTGGAACACCATACTTTACGTTTGTAAGAACAGACAATTTACTGTTTACATTTACAAACTGACAGTGATCAGTGACGTAAGATCTGAACCAGGAAAAGATCTAGTAAGATAGAGTGGTCTATCATATCAAATGCTGCACTAAGATAAAGCAGAACCAGTAAAGATACATTTTCTTGGTCAGAGAAAAATAAGAGATCATTCTACTATGATGTACTATGATGGGGTCTAAATCCAGATTCAGCAGACATAGACTAACGATTCAGCTGATTCACTTCAGAGATTTCCTGGGAAAAAATATGATGAACTTCAAAATGACCAACAGAAGTTAGTTTGCATGATAATAATTTCCTCCTCAGACTGTTAGGGAGTTACCCCCGACACTGTCCCTCAGTGATTTCAGCATTTGTTTTGGGGTGACGACAAAAAAAAGGTGTCATTCAAATGAACCTGAACTGAACTGAAAACTGATTGTTTTATTCAGTTTTGTTTCTTGTTTTAATTTGAGATTTGCTTATTGTTGTTATAATTTTCTTTCAGAGAAGAGTAAATTATTCAGTGTGGATAAATATTTGCCACGTCCATTACCACTAACACTCTTTTTTCTTTTTGTCTCTTTCTCTCTCTTTCCATCTATAGCTCTGGTGTTTAGGAGTGTCTTCCTGACTGACTTTTGCTAATGGAACAAAAGACTCCCAGTAAGCCCACCATGGTCTCCAGACTGCCAAAATTTGGTTCCCGGCCTGTGAATGCCCTGTCCTCTCAGCCTAACAGTACTCTCCATGGTCAGCACACCCATGATTGCCGGAAAATCTCTGGAAAACCCAGCAGAGTGGTACAGCCTTCATCCTTCTCTATGAAGTGGACAAAAGAGACTGGGAGCTCTACTGTCACCCTAAATCAGGAACTGTCTGGAGGGAAAAGAGAGACTCATGCCTTCCATCCTCCAGGAACCCGAACAAACAAGAAACCTTCCACGCTGACTGCGACAGGGCGCAAATCTGCATCATCTGTACTGATAGGAAGTCCAAAACCAGGGCCCAAATCCTCAAGGTCCAGGTCTAGCCCTAAAATTGGCCAAACTGCATCCCTCAGCTCCACCTCACCCAGCAGCTCCTCCTCTAAACTGACCCAGAATGGTACTGTGGACTTGTCCACCAGTGGACGGGGTCCCCGGTTCCAGAGGCTGCGAGATAATCCCAGCTCTGGAGACGGCTTACCTCGGTCCAGCTGTGGCCTCAAAATGCTTTCTGCCGACAGAATGGTTCGCTCTCAGAGTTTCACTTACTTCAGGCAGCCCTCACCAACAAGCTCTTCCATCCCACGCTCCTTCTCATTCAGTAAGGCAGTGGAACTCGCCAAGCCTCTTCCCAACACCCAGCTGTGCCCTTTACGCGCTCCTGGACTCAAACCCCCACAGTGCCTCAGCAGCAGCAGACTGGGTTTGGGCTTTGTCAAGAGCTTCCCTGAATGTTCCTCTTCTGTAGCGTCTCTTTCAGGATGTTCTACGCCCTCTAGTGGTCCGCAGAAGCCTTTGCTCCCCAAGTGTGTGCTGAGTAAATCCTCAACACTGGGCTATAGTCTGACTCACTCATTCGCTGCTAAACCACAGCACCTGCTAGTGGTAGGGAGGAGCCAAGAAAAGCATCAGATTAAAACCCTGTCTCTTACTCCGGAGTCTAACCACAATGTTCAGAGGGTGAGTAGCACATCTGGAACGTCTCAGCGTGTTTAGATGGCTGCGTGGTTGTCTGATTTCTGCTTTTTAAAGGAAGTGTTTATTGAGGTCTATCACGGACTGTCAGGTGGTTAAAAAGTAGTTCTAAACTATAAATGCTGGCATAATCAAAAAATTATGTTTTATACACATATTCTTAAAATGAGGCCGCCAAAAGGGTCTTTGTTTAGTGCCATAGTAGAAACACTTTTGGTTCCCCAACAGCGTTTTCCCACCCCAAATCCTGGAGATCCACTGTCCTGCAGATTATATTTTTTTTCTGCTCCCAACACACCTGATCCAGCTGATCATCTCATTAACAGTCCCTGGCTGAGTTAAAGTGGCTGCTTTAGAGCCTCCAGGATGAGGCTGATCTAAAAAAAGCCTCTTAGTGCCTCTTTGTAAATGAGGTTAAATAAGCATAGAACCTTTACAGTATGTAAGGTTTCTTTTAATCTTCAAGAGATTCTTCACACTCACAAATCTCTTTTTCAAACAAAGTTCTTCAAGGAGCCAAAAGTGGTTCTTCTATTGAACCGCTTAAAGAACCACTTCTAGCACCTGTTTTTTTAGGTGTCCAGGTGTCAGTCTTTTTGTTTTGTTTTAGTTTGAGAAACCTGCAGGTCCAGCTGACCTTCCAGATGGAACAGAGGAAATGTCCTTCTCTTCTGGTTCCTCTGATAGAAATGAGAACTGTGAGGACCTGCTGGATGACTTTGACCACTTGGGTGACCAATCACACAATGGTGTGCCCGACAACAGGTGCCTGACCACGCCCACACAGACACGCCTCTGTAACGTCCTGCACGAGGACTGGGTCGGTGTTACAGGTAAAGCTGTTACCATGACTACCAGCAATTAAGCAGGTTAATCATGCTCCCAAGGGCCGCAATGTGTGTATAGATTATGTACTGTGAATCATTTTTTAATGTCCACTGTGTGGCTGATGGATTTTGTCAAAACTTGCCGCTTTCAAATGTAAACTGTGCGGTCCTAATCTTGGGTCATGCATATATAATCAGTATCCTTACCAATCACATGGCTGATGTGGTCTGTCCCGCCCACACAGCTGTAACTAAACTGTCTTCCCCTTAAAATCTCTCTGTTCTCAAGCCAGAGAATCTTACAGAGAGAGTTAACCATGAAAAGAGAAAGCTAATCACCAAGAGAATAAGAAAATAAATTAAAAAACTAACTGCCAAAAACAGCCTACTGCCAAAAAAAGCTAACCGCCAAACAATAAAGCTAACCGTCAAAAAAAAGCTAACCACCAAATAAAAAAGCTAACCGCCAAAAAAAGCTAACCGCCAAAAAAAAGCTAACCGCCAAACAAAAAAGCTAACCGCCAAAAAAAGCTAACCGCCAAACAATAAAGCTAACCGTCAAAAAAAAGCTAACCACCAAATAAAAAAGCTAACCGCCAAAAAAAGCTAACCGCCAAAAAAAAGCTAACCGCCAAACAAAAAAGCTAACCGCCAAACAAAAAAGCTAACCGCCAAACAATAAAGCTAACCGCCAAAAAAAAGCTAACCACCAAACAAAAAATCGAACCGCCAAAAAAAGCTAACCGCCAAAAAAAAAGCTAACCGCCAAACAAAAAAGCTAACCGCCAAACAATAAAGCTAACCGCCAAAAAAAAAGCTAACCGCCAAACAAAAAAGCTAACCGCCAAACAATAAAGCTAACCGCCAAACAATAAAGCTAACCGCCAAATAAAAAAGCTAACCGCCAAAAAAAAAATCTAACCGCCAAAAAAAAGCTAACCGCCAAACAAAAAAGCTAACCGCCAAAAAAAAGCTAACCGCCAAATAAAAAAGCTAACCGCCAAAAAAAGCTACGCCAAATAAAAAAGCTAACCGCCAAATAAAAAAGCTAACCGCCAAACAATAAAGCTAACCGCCAAATAAAAAAGCTAACCGCCAAAAAAAAATCTAACCGCCAAAAAAAAGCTAACCGCCAAACAAAAAAGCTAATACAAACATGTTTAATGTTTCCACTGAAATTTTGATTATACTGAGTTGAAAATGTTGATGTAATGATTATTCTAAGTGTGTGTCTGTGTGTCTGTGTGAATGCGTGTGTGTGTGTGTGTGTGTGTGTACGTGTGTGTGTGTGTGTGTGCTTGCGCGTGTGTGTGCGTGCCTGCGTGTGCCTGCGTGCACGTGTGTGTGCGTGTGTGCGCGTGCGTCCTCAGATGTGGATTCTGTCGGAAGTTCTTCTCTGGAGCTCTCGCCCTCCAGCAGTTCTGGTGGAACTTACATGTGGGATGAAGATATGAGCTACACACACTCACACACACACCACTGTGGTGATGAGCCCGACATCAACACTACAGTGAGTATTCACACACACACACACACACACACACACACCACTGTGGTGATGAGCCCGACATCAACACTACAGTGAGTATTCACACACACACACACACACACACACACACACACACACACACACACATGGTCACACACGGTTTCCATGGCACCAAGGAAAGCTCAGAGGTCTTGTTTTTTTTTTGTGTACTTTTGTTTTCCATAATTTTCTAACAGGTGTGTTTTCTGTGTCAGAGAGAATCATTTTCAAAAGCTGAAAAAATGACAAAATTTTGTCATCTAATGAAAAAATATTACTTTTTCTGCTCCAACAGCTGACCAATCAGGTCGCAGCACTGAGAGGCAGTAAAACTAATCAGGATGAAGGTCAGAGTTAATAACAATAACAGTAACAGTTGTTGTGTGAGCTGTTGTGGTTACAGTGTTGTTATGATTAGTGAGTTGTTGTGGTTACAGTGTTGTTATGATTAGTGAGTTGTTTTGGTTACAGTGTTGTTATGATTAGTGAGTTGCTGTGGTTGCAGTGTTGTTATGATTAGTGAGTTTAGTGAGTTGCTGTGGTTACAGTGGTGTTATGATAAGTGAGTTGTTGTGGTTACAGTGTTATGATTAGTGAGTTGTTGTGGTTACAGTGTTGTTATGATTAGTGAGTTGCTGTGGTTACAGTGTTATGATTAGAGAGTTTATGTAGTTACAGTGTTATTATGATTAGTGATTTGTTGTGGTTACAGTGTTGTTATGATTATTGAGTTGTTGTGGTTACAGTGTTGTTATGATTAGTGAGTTGTTGTGGTTACAGTGTTGATATGATTAGAGAGTTTATGTAGTTAGAGTGTTATGATTAGTGAGTTGTTATGGCTACAGTGTTGTTATGATTACAGAGCTGTTGTGGTTACAGGGTTGTTATGGTAACAGAATTGTTGTGGTTACAGTGTTGTTATGATTAGAGAGCTGTTGTGGTTACAGGGTTGTTATGGTAACAGAAGTGTTGTGGTGCAGTGTTGTTATGATTAGTGAGTTGCTGTGGTTACAGGGTTGTTATGGTAACAGAATTGCTGTGGTTACAGGGTTGTTATGGTAACAGAATTGTTGTGGTTACAGTGTGCACAGTGGTGAGGCACTTGTTTACACTGGCACAATAAACAATGTTTATTTTATTCAACAATAAAACTGCCTGTAATGATCTTCTCTCAGGATGCTGTTAATAATTTGGAAAATGTAGCAGCCTTTGATCTCGAGGAGAATGACCTCGTACTGGAGCTGCATGAGGATGGAACCTTACACAGCGGTAAATCACACACACACACACACACACACACACACACACACACAATCACAAATATGCACTGTGTGTTTTGTTCCTTTACTGTGTGCAGGTGGAACCATCCACTCTGAACGTTCTGAGAAGAGAACACAGCAGCAGAGACTCAGCAGAGTGAACCAACACAATCATAACAGGTACACACACACATACACACATGTAACACACAGACATAACACACATAACACATAACACACACACACAAACACACACACACACACACACACACACATTTTGTATCCCTAATTAACAGTTGTTCTCCTATCAGCTGACAATACAAAGAAGAAAGAGTAAAAAATTCTCTCCTTTTCTCTCTCTGTCTCTCTCTCTCTCTGTCTCTATCTCCTTTCTCTCTCTCCTCTCTCTTTCTCTCTCTCTCTCTGTCTCCTTCTTTCTTTCTTTCTTTCTTTCTTTCTCTCTCTCTCTCTCTCTCTCTCTCAGGCTGCTAATGCTGCAGGGTTTTGACGAAGGTCCTACAGTTCAGTCAGATGACCACATGGTGGCAATAGAGGAGTTTAGTCTGAATCAGATGCTGCAGGATTTCTCGTCTGTTAAATCACAGCTGCTCAAACTGAAGCTTTTACTGCAGGTAACATGTTTATTTAACTGATATAATCTGACGATATTAGTGTTATGAAAGATTCAGCAGTTTTGGGGAAATAATCAAAGACAAAAACAACTTATATTTGTTAATGTTTTTATTGTAGCTAATATTAAGATTTATCTGACATTAAAATTTGATTTGAATGGTTCAATATTTTTAATCACTCATTATGATTATTTTAATCATTCATTATCACTTACTTATGGTTATCACAGAAATACAGCCTGAACGGAATATGAATCACCAGAACTAAAATAAACACAAAAATGCTCTCAGACTTGATCTTCTGCATTAATGTAACAAGTTATTAAAAAGTAAAATTGATCTATTTAATAAAAAACAACAAAACGTTTAATCAAAACAAGTTATTTTTCCTTTATCAGATTCTGATTAATGTTGATATTGATAAATAATGATAATTAATAATAATCAAGTATTGAAAACAATGATAGTGTGTTTGTGTCTGTGTGTGTGTGTGTGTGTGTGTGTGTGTGTGTGTGTTTGTGTGTGTAGGTGGAAGAAGGTGAGAGAAACAGGAAAGACTTGACTGAAGTGAACAGCGCCGCCCTGCAGGTAAATTAAACCCAATACAACTTTTCATCCACCCGCCCATCCATTCATTCATCCATCCTTCTGTCTATCCACCATCGGTCCATTCATCCATTCATCTATTAATCTATTAATTTCTGAAGCTTCTGCTTCTTCCCTTCTTTAAATATAAACCTCTAACTGGCTGTTGACCCCACTTTGACCCAAAATAGTTGCAAATTATATACAAAAAATCTGTTTACTGGCACAAAAAACACTAAAATTAGAATAATAAAAATAGAATAAATACAAATAATATTTAATGCAATAATTAATTATTCTTTACGTGTCTCAACACTTTATCTGTGTTTATTATAATGTTATATAGCTTTACAAGCATAAACACACGTACAGCCCAGATAAAGATTTAAACAGAGTGCTCTGTGTGTGTGTGTGTGTGTGTGTGTGTGTGTGTGTCTTGTAGGTGGAGATGTTGACGAAGGAAGTGACAATTCTCAGAGAAGAACTGAAAAATAAAGACAATATCATCACTCAGCTTACAAACAAACAACAACAACAACAACACAAACAACAACAGCACCGACTGGTAAAGTTCTCTAAATGTTTTGATATAAACTGAGTCTGTTCTACAGTTTCTCATTAGGCTGAATGAATAACTGACTCTAAATGTAGGTATTGTGATATAAACTGAGTCTGTTCTACAGTTTCTCATTAGGCTGAATGAATAACCGACTCTAAATGTAGGTATTGTGATATAAACTGAGTCTGTTCTACAGTTTCTCATTAGGCTGAATGAATAACTGACTCTAAATGTAGGTATTGTGATATAAACTGAGTCTGTTCTACAGTTTCTCATTAGGCTGAATGAATAACTGACTCTAAATGTAGGTATTGTGATATAAACTGAGTCTGTTCTACAGTTTCTCATTAGGCTGAATGAATAACCGACTCTAAATGTAGGTATTGTGATATAAACTGAGTCGTGGGATTTTTATCAGTGTTCTGTAAAGTTCGTCCAGCAGCTGTGGAAGAACATATTTGTGGGCGGAGCCTGAATGGAGGATTATTCAGTGATGTAAAGAATCTTCACAAATGTAAACAGTGAATCATTTCTTTATTCCTTTCTTCAGCAGCACCGGTCACTCTCAGGGTCAGAGGTTAAAGAGGTTAAAGGTCAGAAGGCTGATAAATTCACGCAGACGCCGCGGAGGCCCGCCCACACTGTGTGTAACTTCCTGCCACCTTCATTTCACTTCCTGTTCGTACAGCTGTGTGTGTGATCTGACCGTGTGTGTGTGTGTGTGTAGGTTGGACTTTCTCTCTGGTCGGCTCTGCCTCCTCCAATCACATCACTCCAGCTCCCCCCCGGTGAGTGACTTTGACCTCTGACCCCAGACTCAGAGGTTCTCCACACAGAGTCGCCGTCAGTCTGATGTTCTGCTAAAAGTGTTTTCTCTCAAACAGTATTTCGCCGAACGTTTTATGAAGAAACCTAAAGAACTTTAATTAAGTTTACGGTTAAAGTGTCCAAATAGTTTTTGGGACCACAGTTTTACACAAACATTCTCTCTGTTAATTTTCTTCTGATTTTCCAAAACGGCGTAACAGTGAATTAAATACACTCAGATCCACTGCAGTGTTTTCAGAACGGTGTATGTTAATGTGTGTTTAGCTGTGTGGAGATGTTAATGTGTCTAAGAGAAGAAGTGTTCAGGTGTTTAACTGTTGAGGTGCTAAACTGGCTGTGTTAAGGTATTTAAGTGTTAACGTGTAGAAATCTTTAGGTGCTGAAGTGCTAAGCTATTAAAGTTTTTGAGTTCAGGTGTTTAACTGTAGAGATGTTAAAGTGTTGTGATGTTAAGGTATTTAAGTGTTAAGGTGTTTAAGTGTGTGGTAGTTGTGAGGTTTTTAGGTGCTGAGGTGTTTATGTTCTTAAACTCTGTCTGTTTTCTCTTCTCTGTAGCTTCAAGTTCTGTAGCCATCCAGCCCACAGCTCAGCGAGGCCTGCACCCAGGAACCATCAGCAAGTTCAACCACCACCGGGGCCCCCAGTAAAGCCCTCAGGTGCCCTCCTTCACCGGGGCCCCCGGTAAAGTCCTCAGGTGCCCCACTCCAGCAGGGACCCCGGTAGAGCTCTCAGGTCCCCTACTCCACCAGGCCCCTAGTAAAGCTCTTAGGCCTCAAGGGGAGGGGGGTTTGGTCGCATTTGACTGTATTTTCTCAGAAGTGTTTCGGGTTTGGTTTGGGTTCAAATTTCACGTTGGGGATCTTGCAGCTCACCGCAAGTGGTCATTACTCAATATACCTCAATATATACATTGGAATGAAATGTGGTTCTTCAGGCCTCAAACACACACCAGCAGTACATCACACAGAACAACACTGATTGCAGAATGTGCAATAAATACACCTGACAGTAAATATACAAAACAATAAATACACAGACACACACACACACACACACACACACACACACACACACACACATATATATATATATATATATAAAGATCGAGTCTCATAGCAGATTCACACCGTTACACAAAGTGCAGGTGTGCAGTGATGGTAAAGGGTCAAGTCAAGTCAAAGTTTATTTATAAAGCACTTTTTACAACAGGTGTTGTCACAAAGCAGCTTTAACCCATTCTCCTCTGGACCACACCGGATAGCAAACAATAACAGCAGAAAATGAGATTGGACCATTAATATAAAATATGGAAAGAAAGGAAAAGCAGGTGATGTCTATGATTTAATGCAGCAGCATCATCAGGAGGGTCAGTTCATGCAGGTGAGGTTTGCACAGCGTTGTGCAGTGAGAAGCTCCATGGTAGTCAGACTGGTCCAGGAAACAGGCAAGCAGTTAGCCTGAAAAGCTAATTACCAAAAGCTTGGCTAAACTGATTTTTAGCCTAGACTTAAAGACTGAGGCCGTGTCTGAGTCCTGAACACTGACTGGAAGATTATTCCAAAGCTGGGGGGCTTTGTATGAAAAGGCTCTCCCCCCGATGTAGCTTTATTAATTCTAGGTACTAGTAGTGAGCAGCACCTTGTGATCTAAGTAGGCGTGATAGTTCATAGTATGAGAGAAGTTCACTCAGGTACTGAGGGGTGAGTCCGTTTAGAGCTTAATAGGTCAGTAAGAGAATTTTGTAATCGATGCGAAATTTAACTGGCAACCAGTGCAGGTTTGATAAAACTGGGCTGATATGGTCAAACGTTCTGGTTCTTGTGAGACTCTGGCTGCAGCGTTCTGGACTAACTCGTTAAGGCTTTTGCTGGAACAGCCATAGGGTGATCAGTCTGTGGTGGATATTGGAAACCTAGATTAATCCTGGTGGATATGGAGAGGGTCTAGATTAATCCTGGTGGATATGGAGAGGATCTAGATTAATCCTGGTGGATATGGAGAGGGTCTAGATCAGGGGTGTCAAACTCAACCGCTAAAAGGGCCAAATTAAAAAATCTCAACAAATCTGTGGGCCAGAGGACAACTTTCTTCATCTCCGCCACTTTTCTGATGCCATTGCTGTCTATCCAGCCGTACTTACTGTGGTATTTCTTCATCATGGCCACATAATCTCTGCAAACGAGACAAATATTGGAAGTAAAAAGGTATTTTAGCTCCCAGCCGTTTTGAAATACTGAGCGTTCACTGTCCACTTCTCACTTTTAGTAAACTAGGTGTTTTTTAGCTAGCTAAGTGTTTATATTGGTTGGGCTGCTGCTGAAACACAGTCTGGTGATGTGACTGGTGTGGTAGGATTGAGGTATCCCATAGATTGGTGTTGGGGAAAGGGGTGTTGAAGTGCACTTCACATTGCAGTGCAGCACACTGTGAAATGGGCTAATCTTAATAGAAAATGAAAATAATTTTGTGGGCTGGACAGCATCGTGCTACGGGCCTGATTTGGAGAGGGTCTAGATTAATCCAGGTGGATGTTGGAGAGGGTCTAGAGTAATCCAGGTGGATGTTGGAGAGGGTCTAGATCAATCCAGGTGGACGTTGGAGAGGGTCTAGATTAATCCTGGTGGATGTTGGAGAGGCTGTTATCGCTGCACCAGCCTGCAAGCCGCTTCACCTCCTCCATGTGTGCTGCCTTGTCACTGTTGCTGATAAGAGCCACTGCTCTAGTGTCATCAGTAAACTTGAGGATATGATTTAAGTTCTGCTTTGCAGCACTTTGAGTCAGCAGTGTGAACAGTGGGGGATCCGGTGTGGAAGGAACATGGCTCTTTATGTGTCTAATTACAGACTGCTCAAAGCACTTCATGATGAATGAGGGCTACAGTTGATTTTTTCAGAAATGATGGTGATTGTTTTGAAGCACTCTGGGAAAACTGCCTGGCTCAGAGAGACGTTGAAGATATGCTTTCCAGCACACTGTTTTCGACGCCTACTCTCCTGGCCCGCAGCATCACGCAGTTGTCCCGAGGTCCCAAGGTCTTGTTCGCGAAGCAGCCTGAGGTCACACAGCGCCTCCAACAGTTTAAAATTTATTACAGCTGAACTCCGTTCAGGAAATTACAGTTTAGTGCAGCCAAAAGAACATTTATATTTTCATATGGTCGATATGTTCTGTATCGTGTTCTATGTACAGAGTTTTAAACAGGTGAAGTTACATCTCGCTACATCAACACAGCACAGCATGAGAGCAGCGCAGTATGAACCGCTCAGAACAAAACGCATCTGAGATGCTGCTTAATTGAATTAATCTTAAGCTTAATTTGATGATCTAATTAATTTGAACAAATAATTTTTTATTGTTGATTATTTGATTATAGCATTTCGGTGATGACAGGTCAGTTCTGTTTAACTGTTTACAGAATGACTGAAGTGACCACAATAATATTTTAATAATAATATCATCTCAGGACATTCCGTCAGAAAAACTTCTGTCAGATTTTATGGGGACAATATTTCATCTTTGAAGTAGTTTCACTGATTTAACCCCTAAATTACTACAGATTCTCACTTAGATGTAACATTAATAGTCTGTCTGAGTGTTTTTGTGTTTGTGTTTGTGTGTTTTTACATTAGCTCACATTAAGCAGCGGGAATTCTCCCTACTGTCCTGATCACCCACTCCGGCACCGCATATAAGACTGTGATCATTTTTTAATTATGATAAAGATTTAACAATATGAGATCTGTGAATATAATGGCTGTTTACTCTGTCATTGTTTATCTTTTTTAAATGCAATAAATATAAAAGTAAAATCCTTCAATTTGTTTTTATTCTCTTTCTTCACAAAACCTCAAACCTTCTACAGATCAGATAATGAAGAAACTCCACAGAGACCCTTCCTGTTCACACAAAAGTACACAAACAAATAAATAATGATAATAATAATAATAATAATAATAATAATAATAGTAATAATAATAATAATTGTGACACTGTAGACTCAGAGTTGTGAGAGATCCATTTGCAGGCTTTTTAATTATATGGTACATCAGTAAATCAGTCCAACGACTCAGGCAGTGATACAAAAACGGCAAAAAACCAAAGACGGATTCCAAAAAGACTCAAAGACTCTGGCAATACTTCATGCTGACTGGCTGAGTTTGGGGAGTATTTAAGGCGGGGGTCCAATCTCCTCCACAAAGGGCCGATGTGGGTGCAGGTTTTTGTTTCAATTAACAAGAGCCCACCTGATTCCACTCGTTTAATCAGTTAGTCTTACAACTGATCAGGTGACCTCTTGCTTTGTTGCTTTGCAGGGCTAGTACTCAGGAGAGAGCCCTCTAGTGGCCAGAGGCAGAATTACTGACAATAATAATAAAGATGGAAAGAATGCTTTATATTTTATTTATTTTTGTTAGTTTTTTAATATAGAAATTTAATTTCCTTAAAAAAACTTATCCTGTAAACACTCCTCACGAGGGAACGGTCACAGTCAGCTTTCTGGACAAAGTTTCTTTTCAGTGGAAAATTTCCATCAATCTTTATCATACATGAAGTATAGATTTAGAAAATTATAAATGATACATGAACAGGTTAATCAAGTGATTATGAAAATAATCATCCATAAAAATCTGAATAAAACTCTTGATAATAGATGATAAATAAATACAGTGGACAGAGTAAATGAGTTCGCTAGATTAGATTTCTGAACCCTCTGCTGTTAAATACAGGAGGGTCATCATCATCATCATCATCACCACAGTGAGTTTTATTTCTGCTGAATAGACAAATCAGCAAATAAAAGCCTTTAAACATCTTCGGTCTCGAGTTAAATTAATCAGACCTACAAAAATCCCATAAGCTCTTTAATTCTGTGATAAGTTTTCTAATCAGAGGCTAAAACTGAAGAAGCAGCTGCTGGTTGTTCTATTTGGAACCAGAATGTTAGCGAAAGCACTATTAGCTTCTACACTGGGAAGAAATCCTGTAACTTATATTAAAACAGCAATGAGCTGCTTTACTTCAAGCTCAACAAACTGAAGAATTATAGTTAACAAGTTTACTAATAGATACAGTTAAAAAGCTGCATCAGTGTTTTCAGGGTTTGATAAACTGCAGTTCAGATTCTCACTGATATTTAAAGAATGATTTCATACATTCAAATGGAAAATTAAACACTGTAAATCAAACTGATCACATCTTGTTTTCTTATTGTTTTCAGCCTCACACCTTTCTGATGGTCAGCGTGTGTGTGGGCGGAGCTCTGCTTTTGACCAGAAAACTGATATCTGATCTGGAATGACCAATCAAATTCAATCTCTGAATTATATATAATTACACAGTTAATGTTACTACAACTGATTAACCGATTGAATGTGATTTTATTGGACCATAATGTTTTTATATAAAGGGTTTTGCAATAATATAAAACATAATATAAACATAATATAAAAAGCAAAAATAGAGGATAAACATAAAAGCTTATTGTTTCCATTGTGGTTCCCAAGATAGAAAAATGAAACCAAAGGCAGCAGATTTAACGCAGCAAACATGACGCGATATAAAAATCACCGTCAGTGTTAATACAGTCAACAGTGAAAAGAAACCAATAAAAATTGCATAATATTTAAAAGACATTTTAAAAATGATCATCAAACTGTTTCCTAACTGCGTCTCTAAAACATCCCGACAGTCGGTTCCTCAAATTTCAACCTCTACTGTTAAAAGCAAAAAGCCTGAATGTAAGAATTTAAGATAATGATGAGAATCTTATCTGCACAACTTTATCAAAACTGCTTCATCCAGAACTTTCGTCCATCCAAGAATTTCAAAATAGTGATTCAGTAAGTTCTGATTAAAAACTCAGAGTCCAAAGCTTTTTAAATAATAATAATAATAATAATAATAATGTTTTAATGTACGTGTATATATGATCATACTACGAGCAACAAACACAATCTAAATAAGGCTGAACTGGAGCTCCTGATGAGGTCATCAATGTTCTGTCTAGAAAACATTTAATCAGCAGATCGTCGCGCTCTGTGTTTTGGTATGTTTGGGTCGCAGGTGAAGCTAAAGGTCAGTTCAGATCATCACAGCCGTGAAACACCGTAACACCGCCTCCTTTTCTCTGTGCTGATCACCGTATGCTGCTCTTGTGTTACTGTTTGCTGTCCGGTGGGGAACAGAGGAGGATGGGTTCCCCCTCTGAGTCTTGGCTCCTATCAGTGGTTCCTGGGTTTTCTTGGTGAGGCTCATGGGATCTCGGACCCGGAACTTCAGTAAAACTGCTTTGTGAAAACGGCTGCTGTAAAAAGCGCTACATAAATAAACAATGACTTCAGTGTTTTAGTGCTTTATACAACAAATCTGCAAAATAAAGAATAAAGTAAAGAATCTCTCATGAAATAAAACGTCCAAAAAATTATCTTTTCCTGAAAGACAGACAACAAACTATGACCAAATATGTTTGGATAAAAACATCGAATCACTCTTGGTAAAAAGAGGAATTTCTGTTAAGCAGAATATAAAACCCAGTAAGTGGAGGTCACAGTGATTTGATGTGGTTTCTCCAGATAAACACACGAGAAAAAAACATGTGCTGTTTATTTGAGCTAAATGAGAGAAATACGTGCACCGTTTAGATGCTCCTTAATGACTAAAGCGATCTGCGTTTCTTAAACATGACGTTTAGGACATTTTTAAAACATTTCGGCTGTACTTTGTTCACTGTTTTCTCAGGAGTGAGAAAATGCAGAGTTGGTTATTTTTGGACGTTTATACGCTGAGAAATCGAGAGGAGAAAGTCGGATGTTCAGCATTTTCTGCTTTTGTTCTAAAGTAGAAACGGACTGACAGTTTGCTACAAAGCAGTCGTTACTTAGTGACCGTGTTCAGTGGAAAGATGCTGTTGTTAAAAAAGTGCTGTTATCATAAATAACACTGCTAGAACGTTTCTCGACCAAATAGATTGTGTCAAACTGCTGTATAAGTATGATTAACAGACATATTCTGTCATCCTGGTTTCATTATCATCATCATCATCATCATCATCAGTTAAAATCTCAAGTGTCTCGTGAGTTTTCTCGTCCCTCGTTACACATTTGTGTGTCTTCAGAGTGTTTGAGTGTCTGAAACTCCGCCCACAGTCAGAGCAGTAATAGGGTTTATCTCCTGTGTGGATGCGCTGGTGCAGCTCCAGGTGACCCGCTCTGGTAAAGCTTTTTCCGCATTCGGAGCAGTAATACGGTTTCTCTCCTGTGTGGATGCGCTGATGTGTTCTGAGAGTGCCTCTGTCTCTGAAGCTCCGCCCACACTCTGCGCACTGATGGGGTTTCTGTCCTGTGTGAACATGCTGGTGGAGCTGGAGATGACTCTCTCTTGTAAAGCTCTTCCCACAAAACGAGCAGAAGCACGGCTTCTCTCCGGTGTGGATGCGCTGGTGCAGCTGAAGATGGTCCTGTCTGCTGAAGCTCTTGCCGCACTCCGAGCAGCAGTACGGCTTCTCTCCGCTGTGAACGCGCTGGTGAGTCTGGAGATTACACTGCACAGCAAAGCTCTTCCCACAGTCTGAGCAGCGGTACGGTTTCTCTCCGGTGTGCGTGCGCTGGTGTGTTTGGAGGTTACTCTGCACGGTGAAGCACCTTCCGCACTCGGAGCACTGATACGGCTTCTCTCCGGTGTGAACGCGCTGGTGCGTTTTGAGGTAACTGAGCCGATTGAAGCTCTTCCCGCAGTCTGAACATTGATGAGTCCTTGTGCTCGTGTCTTTCTGCGTTTCTGTGCAGGAGGTTTCAGCGTCTCCTGTGTGGAGAACATCAGACTCTGAGGTTCTCTGAGTGTTGGAGCTTCCAGGAGACGCCATGTTCACACATACGATCTCTCCCGATTTCTCGCTCCTCACCTTCAAACAGTCTCCTCCACTGATCTTCTTAGTGGAACCATCTCCTGAGAAGTTTGTGGAGAGGAATGCGGGCCGTGTAGGAAAGTAGACACTAGGAGAAGAAGATCTGCAACAGTAGGTCATTCATTTCTGGAAGAAAAAAAAACGTTGGATATAATAAAATAGCAAAATGACAGTATTGTTGAGAAATGCACATAGAAACTACAGCTGGGTTGAACTGCTGCATTTGACATGACAGATCACAGACATTTCCACGACTTTTCCAAGGCATAAGATGAAATTTCCAGGCCAAACGTTTAGCAGAGAGCTGAGTGATATATCATCTACACCAGCATCCTGTGATACTGACGTAGCATTTCCTGTTTTAGTGATATTTTTAGTGACATATTAGATAAATACGGATTTTTTTTTTAAATAAAGCCTTAGAAAAAGTGACTTTCAAACAATTAAATGTGTATCTAATATCAAACAGGTTACATGAGAAGTTGAATCAGGTTTTCGTACTGACTCAGCACTGGTTGACCTCAGACCCATGCTGATGCACAAAATCCTTCTGTTCTGGTCTTTTTGGATCTTAGTGCAGCTTTTGTTACTGTTGATCACAAGATTGTAGTTCACCATCTTGAATTCTGGGTACATGGTTCAAATCATATTTGACAAATAGACAGTTCTTGGTTTCAGTGGGAAATCATTCATTGAAAAGATTTAACAAATTTTTGAGGAGTCCCTCAGGGTTCAGTTTTAGGGCCTTTGCTCTTCTCTTTGTACATGTTACCTGTAGCTGATGACTTAGCGCGTCACTAAACTCTATGGCTCTTTGATCTTTATCTCTTTAATCTGATCTGTCATCGTCTTGTCTGTTACTGTAAAATGTGTCTCCCTGTAAAGCACTCTGAGCTGCCACTGCTATAAAAAATGCTCTATAAATAAAGATATTATTATTATTATTGTTATCATCATCATCATTTTGAATGAAACAGCAAGAGTTTTCATTTTTAATTAATATTAGTTTCACTGTGAACTCATTTTTCTGCAGTATGGTAGGTAACCAGGAACCAGGGATGCAGTTCTTCCCATCATCAATCAGACTAAAATAATAAGCCGATCATCCATCAGACTATAATATGAAACCAATCAATCAGACTAAAATAATAAACTGATCAATCAGACTAAAATAATAAACCAATGATCAATTATTACATTTTTTATTATTATTGATTATAAGATCTACTTCCCGTTTGAAAAATCGATTCAAAGCAAAGCAGGACTAAAATAGCAGATCAGAGAAAAATGATTTCTGATTTCTGATGTTGGCACAGAACAGCATCATATTCATCAAGCTTCTAAAGGCGCGAGAGCTGATCAGGGATCAGATTTCTCTCATGTTCGGGCTGATTTTACTGACAGGAGCTGATTCCAGATAAGCTCTAACAGTCTGAGCTCGAGTGTTCGGGAATCAGTGAATCTGCAGGGAACCAGAAGAGCGCTTTAATTCTGTGTGACGTAATTAACGTCACTGACTTTAACGGCGACCAATCAGCGAGTTTCGGATGTAAATATTCTGTAAACTGTAAATAAGCGTTAAAGAGATCAAAGAGATCAACATATTTCCCAAAACGCGGAGCTTCAGGCTTCTTACGGCAACTTTCCGTTCCACCTTAAACAGTACAGGAGATCCATTCTGGCACTTCAGGCGCCACCGCGGCACTGCTGTACCATTTAAGGTGGACCGGACTATTCCAACAAGAAGCCTCGTCAGCTACAGAAACATCAACCACACAAACACCAGAACACGGTTAAAGGTCAAACTGCCGCGCCGATTACAGATTATTTTATTCATAATATTTAATGATTTAATATATTTCTGTAACAGTTCATGAGAAACAAGAGCGTTAATAATGTTACAGAGCGCTTTACCTTCAGCAGCTGCTCAGTGTCTCTCTCTCTCTCTCTCTGCCTCTCTCTCTATCTCTCTCTCTTTCTCTCTCTCTCTCTCCTTAGAGAACCGTCTGTTCCACCAAACCCCAAATAAAAACCTCCTTATCTGGAACCACAGAACCAACACCGCAGCTGACTTGTTTCTTGTTAAATTTTTTGGCGATGACGTCATCGATTCCGGAAGTCTGCACGCGCACATCCTGCTGCGGATGAAGAGGAGAAAACGATTTTAAAACTTTGATTTAAAAAAAGAAAGATTAAAAACTGAATATCTTGTTTCTGGAAATGTTTTTATACTTAAGTATCTTTTAATTGTTATATATTTAATACAAAATGTCTGAAATCACAGGCGAGATTTATATTAACACTTTATTATATTTTTATTATATTCAGTTTTTCTTTTTACTTTGAAAAATGATAGTGCTAAAAGCCTGATTTAAAAAGCTTCATAATTTAATCTTGTAATTCTGTTTATTGCTCATAGAATGTTTTAATTTTGTTATTATTGTATTGTTCTGTTTTTCTATTTTCAGTTTTTGGTACATTTTTTATTTCTTCTAAAAGCCTTGAAAATTCAGATGACTTAAGTGTAATTTGTAATACCACATTGTTTTTAAACTGTAATAATAATAATAATAATAATAATAATAATAATAATTTTTGCACTGTACACCTCAGGCTTTAAGTACAGCTCTGAGACATGCCACATGATGACACTGCCATTGTAGCATGTGTAAGGGGAGGGCAGGAGGAGGAGTACAGGAACCTGGTGAAGGACTTTGTGGAGCGGTGCCGTAGGAACAACCTGCTACTTAACGCTTCCAAGACCAAGGGGCTGGTGGTGGACTTCTGCAGGGCTGGGCGACTCACACAGCCAATCTCTATTGAGGGGGGTGAAGTGGAGAGTGTAATGACCTACAGGTATCTCGGACTGCAACTGGATGATAGGTTGGACTGGTCAGCCAACACAGACATCCTGTACAGAAAGGGGCAAAGCTGGCTCTATTTCCTGAGGAGGCTGGGGTCCTTTAACATCTGTACGAAGCTCCTCCAGATGTTCTATCAGACCGTGGTTGCCAGCTATCTTTTTATGCTGTGGTGTGCTGGGGAAAAAAAAGAGAGACGAGATGCGACTGGACAAGCTGGTCAGGTGTGTAGGATCAGTGGTTATTGTGGAACTGGACTCTGTGGTTAATGTGGCCTAGAGAAGGACTCTGCACAAACTGCTCTCCATTATGGAGGATGATGGCCACCCACTGCACACTATCATTATGGACAGGAGGAGCATGTTTAGTGTAGGTTGCTGTCACAGAGCTGCTCAACTGACAGACTCAGGAGATCCTTTGTCCCCAGAGCCATCAGGCTCTTCCACTCTTTCCTGTGGGGTAAGAAGAGAAGAGAGAAGAGGGAAGAGGAGAGATGAGGACTGAATCTCTTATGATAAATTAGGTTTATTTTATCTACCTGCACGTATGGATGCCTTACTGCACATATTTTTTCAGTATTGTCATTATATGCTGTTACCTGCGCTTCCTTGTACAATCATTACTGCACTGGCTTTTTTTTATCTCAGGATAGATCTTATTGCATATTTTTGTATATTTCTACTTGTATATCTGGCTGTAGATGTTTTTTTGTATATATTCTTTTTATATTGTATCACCCTTACAACTAACTGTGTTTCAGTATCAGTATTTATCTATCTATGTATTTATCTATCTAATAACAATTATTATTATTATTATTATTTTTTTTTAGTAGTAGTAGTAGTAGTATCATTATCATTATTATTTAGTGGGGGTTAGGAGGATTAGATCACAATCAGCTGTGATTAAAAAATACAATTTCTTTTATAACAATCATTTACTCATTTAATTATAATTTTCTGTGTATTTGCAGAATCTCTCAGAATGTTTTGAGCTCAGATTTTTAAACCTCTTTCATAGCTGTGGTCAGTCAGTGTCAGTTGTGTCCACTTTCAGGCTCTTCTGTGTTTCAGAGCTGAAAGGAGCTCCAGGCACGAGCGCAGTTTAAAGGCTTATTAACCCTTGTGTTCTGTTACCCTTTTATAATCAGCTTGATATTCATGACTTTTCCTAATTTTATGGAAACTGCAAATAAACTATTTTTATACTAATGTGTTTTGAACTGTAGTTTAACTGTACTTTTGAATGAAATCTTAATAGTTCTCTTAACTCTTGTCTGTTTTTTCTGTTAATTTGTTTATGTAGTTCTGTTCATTTTAGTTTGACATGATTAAATTCCATTTTAATTTCTTTTTCAATCCCTTTAGTGCTGTAATTCCTTAGCTACATTGAAAATAAAGTTCACCCTCAACATATTTCCAAGTGAAAATAAAGGTACAGCTGAGTCTTACACACACACACACACACACACACACACACACACACACACACACAAATACAGGAAAACCTCCAGGTGGCACTCCGGAGAAGAACCAGGGCTTGATAGCCATCCTGGATTTGACAGATCAGAGCTTTGGCTTGTTTCGGTCTTTGTTTGACTCTTTCTGCTCCTCACCTGAGTCTAAGCTGCTGCCTCAGACTGAAGCAGCGCTCAGCTCTGCCTCTGTCTGTCTGTATTTAAACGCTCTGCATCATCTTGCAGTATTTTGGTCTGCAGAGTCTGTTTGGTATTTCTTTGCTGGATGTTTGTTGTCTTTACTTCAGTCTTTCATTTTTTTCAGGTCAGTTTCTGGATCTTGAAGGTTCTTTTAGTCCAGTTCTTTGTTTCTTTGCTTTTGTAAAATCTTGTGTTCATCATTGTTTTGAATAAACTGTCAGACTTGCATCCTGACTCTGTCATCATTCCTCTATGACAGATTTTAGGTATTTTTTCTAGAGTTACAAAATTTTCACTCATTTACATAAATCTTATATTTATAGAAACTCTGTTCAGACATGGCATGTCAAACAGGCAAATGTGATGCATCAGACAGACAGACAGACAGAGAGACAGACAGACAGACATGACAGTCTACATGGTTGTGGGTGGATGAGCTGGGTTTTAGATGGTGTGTCAGACAGCTCCAGTTGGATAAGATGTTAGCCATTTTGTTAGCATTCACAGCTCCAGACTGAACTGATAAACCTGATAAACTTTTTTATAAGAGTTTATAAAATGAGTTTATTAGCATAAACCAACAAATCTCAGTATGCTGTGAAGCTTGTTGAGCAACAGACTCTTAGTTCTGTAAGACTCCAGATTAACTGATCTAAGTAGATCTAACTCAGTGATTCAAGATTATACAAGAAACTTCTTTGTTGAAGATTCAAACAAACTGGCCTCACCTGTGCAGGTTCTGTTAGGGCTTTCTTAAAGTGACAGTACAGCAGTGTGAGAATAAACAAAGTTACAAAGACAGAAATCAAATACATCAAAAACAACAACAAAAAAGACATTTCAAAGTACAACACATTGATGAAAGATCACAGATTAAGACTCTTTTGCAGAAAACAATTGAGATTGAGATCCTTATTCATGTCATTAGGAAACAGAGAGAAAAGTTCACAGATCAGATGGCCTCACTCTGTCATCTTCTTCTGTCCTGATCTTCTCTGTATCAAAACTCTCAGTGCTCAGGAAACATAAATCTGAAGGTGTTTAGCTGAATCAAAATGATGAGAAACAGGAGGCGGTTCATCCTGTCCTGTGAATCGCTCTCATACGTTCAGTTATTCTGGTCTAGTTTTGCCAACATACAGTGGAGCACAAGGACACATGATACATGAGCATGTAGATCTACAAGTTATGAATTGTCTGATATTGTATGGTTTCAAAGTTAAAGAGTGTGTAAAAGATTTACTTTTCACAAACTGAGAACAGGAGGTACAACTGTACAATTATGGTTGAGAAGCAGTTGCTTTCTGGTTGTGACAAGGAGAATGACCTTACGCTGTTAGAAATAAAGGTTCTGTGCAGGTACATTTGTCATTCATCCCTAAAAGCTACAACAGTGGTTTTAAGGTCTGATTATGAACCTTAAATAAGTTTTTCCAGGGGAAAAGTTTGTATTTGTACCTTTTCATAACTGAATGCCTTAGGGTAGGGCTAACGCTGTACTTAGGCTAAAGATCAAGTTTAGGCTCAAGTTTAGGCTTAGGGTTAGGTTTTAGGGTTGAGGTTAGGTTTTAGGGTTTGGTTAAGGTTAGGTTTAGAGTTTACGTTAAGTTTCAGGGTTAGGTTTAGGGCTAAGGTGAGGTTACAATCAAGGGTTAGGTTTTAGGGATAGGTTTAGGGCAAGGTGTAGGGTTAAGGTTAGGTTTAGGGCTAAGGTTAGGTTTAGGGCTGACTTTAGGGTTAAGGTTAGGTTTTAGGATTTAGAGTTAGGTTTAGGGCTAAGGTTAGGGTTAAGGTTAGGTTTAGGGCTGACTTTAGGGTTAAGGTTGGGTTTTAGGGTTAGATTTAGGGATGACTTTGGGGTAAAGTTTAGGTTTAGAGCTAAGGTTAGGGTCAAGGTTAGGTTTTAGGGTTTATGGGTAGGTTTAGGGCTAAAGTTAGGGTTTAAGATTAGGTTTAGGGCTAAGGTCAGGGTCAAGGTTAGGGTTTAGGGTTTGGGGTTAGGTTTAGGGTTTAGGGTTAGGTTTAGGGCTAAGGTTAGGGTTAGGGGTTATGGTTAGGGTTAGGGATAGGGTTAGGTTAGGGGAACAAACAATGACTTCCCCCATCAACTGTCATCAGACAATTGTGGTTGGATAGGAAGATCAAGGGTAATGCACGGGCCGCCGCTTGTTAAGCAAAGCCATTGGGCCTTCCAGTCCCTCTGTCTGGGAGTGAATTTCCTTTTATTTATTTATTTTATATATTTTTTATTTATTTATTAGAAAATTGTTCCAAGTAGTTGCGTTATGGTTGTATTTACATTTGATTCTTCCAACTGCATCACAAGGCAAAGAACAAAGAGGCGAAGAGAGGGATGCACCACTAGACTGAGCAGGGCACCCTCAAGGCCTGGCTTGGCCTATGTTTTTCACCTATTCATTGTCCCTCCCACAACAGCAAGTCAGAGAATGAACAGGTGTGATACAGTATATTAATGAATTTTAGGACACATCATCAGTAGTGTACCCCAGAGTCATCGAGTGTTTCGGCCTTTAAACACTATACACCCTCATCTGAGGCGGCCAGCCATAGGTTGATCAAGCCCAGGTTTGTGTCCCATGCCCAAAT